GACACCACACACAACCTTATTAGGACACCACACAACCATATTAGGACACCACACACAACCATATTAGGACACCACACACAACCATATTAGGACACCACACACAACCATATTAGGACACCACACACAACCATATTAGGACACCACACACAACCTTATTAGGACACCACACACAACCTTAATAGGACACCACACACAACCTTAATAGGACACCACACAACCTTAATAGGACACCACACACAACCTTAATAGGACACCACACACAACCTTAATAGGACACCACACACAACCTTATTAGGACACCACACACAACCTTATTAGGACACCACACAACCATATTAGGACACCACACACAACCATATTAGGACACCACACACAACCTTATTAGGACACCACACAACCTTAATAGGACACCACACACAACCTTAATAGGACACCACACACAACCTTATTAGGACACCACACACAACCATATTAGGACACCACACACAACCATATTAGGACACCACACACAACCTTATTAGGACACCACACACAATCTTATTAGGACACCACACACAACCTTATTAGGACACCACACACAACCTTATTAGGACACCACACAACCATATTAGGACACCACACACAACTTTACTAGCACTTAATAGCAAGTCACTTATTAGAACACTATAGGACACAACAATAACGTGTATGGTTGTGTCCTATAGTGTCAGTCATGTATGGTTGTTCACTACGTCTAATAAATGATGTACTAAACTGCCCTAACCTAACCCAATCTAACCGCTGCATAGAAAACCGGATGTTTGCCAGCCCTCTGCGATATATAGTACCTCATATTATGTTCGTTGGGGGATTTTGACGTCAAAATAATGCTGTATATTATTCGATAGAAGTTTAGTGTCAGATGCTTCATGACCAATGACCTCTGACCTCGATGAACAGCTCGTTAGACGCTTAACGATCTCACCGGTTCTCTGGGCATCGTTGTTTGACGAGCACCTGTCCGTACGGCCCAAAATTGATGTACTTACAATCTTAGCGTCACGCGAATTTGACCCGAGGTCCCGTTTTCTTTAAGTGTCCTCCGGTAAGGTAAACAACACCGCGATAGATAATATAAGCATTATATATAATATATAATTATATATAATATATATATTTAACACACACAAGTTTAATTCGTGGTGCACCGAAACACAATAAACAAACACAATAACAGAATTGATGTTAATAAAAATAGCGGGCAAATATTTTATTTAGTGCGAGTTGCTGTTGGAGAGACTTTTGCTGCCAACGACAACCTGGTTGATCAACAATATATACGTGTGTCTGGCTGTTGTGTATTGACCTTCCTACAAGACTTATTGAAAAATATACTGGCAATGTGTTGACATTTGTGTGTGGGTGTGTGTGTGTGGGTGTGTTTGTGTGTGGGTGTGTGTGCGTGTGCGTGTGTGTGGGGGTGGGTGTGGGGGTGTGGGTGTGGGTGTGCGTGTGTGTGTGTGTGTGTGTGGAGGGAGATGTGTGTGTGTAGAGTGAGATGTGCGTGTGTGGAGTATGTTAAATATATATCTGGAGCGCACATAAACACAAATGTGTGGAATGACAGCTTAGTGGAGTGTGTGTGGAAGGACAGATGTTAACAATTTAGGAATGTGTAATGGGAGTCAATAGGCTGCAAATTGACAGATTTTTCCATATTTATAAACTGGATTTTTCGACAGACCCGACCATTTTTATGTGAAAGTGAAACATGCAATTATTCAAAGTAGCTATCAAGCTGCAAATCTTCCTAACAAGTGACTTCAAAAGATGATAACAAGTGAATAATTGAATCAAGTGAATAATAAATAGGCTCTCCTGCTTGCCAAAGGTTTTATACATAGTCACCAGTGAAAAAGTGAGTCACTCGGATTGGACAATCCAATTATAAAACGTCACAACAATGAATACATGACTGTTACTCACCTTGTAATGAGTGATTCTGTTGTTGATATCTAGGCCTGAGCCCCAGACATCACCTTATTTTTTGCCCTGTAATATAAAATATTGAAAATTATGTTTAAAGAAAATTACTTTCCTGCAATGTATCATAATATATTACAAGTCATTAGAGATGCAATGCAAGGCGTTGTTAGTTATCTCTCTAGTTATGTATGTGGCTATCTTGACAAGCTAATGTAAAATTGTTCAAAGGTCGCATTAAGACTATTTGTGTTCCCTGTAATTTTTTGCACAATAAAATGCCACTCACAGGGGCAGTATGGGGTGCATAATAAACTAGCACCCACAAGGGCAGTATGGGGTGCATAATAAACTAGCACCCACAGAGGCAGTATGAGGTGCATAATAAACTAGCACCCACAGGGGCAGTATGGGGTGCATAATAAACTAGCACCCACAGGGGCAGTATGGGGTGTATAATAAACTAGCACCCACAGGGGCAGTATGGGGTGCATAATAAACTAGCACCCACAGGGGCAGTATGAGGTGTATAATAAACTAGCACCCACAGGGGCAGTATGGGGTGCATAATAAACTAGCACCCACAGGGGCAGTATGGGGTGCATAATAAACTAGCACCCACAAGGGCAGTATGGGGTGCATAATAAACTAGCACCCACAGGGGCAGTATGGGGTGCATAATAAACTAGCACCCACAGGGGCAGTATGGGGTGCATAATAAACTAGCACCCACAGAGGCAGTATGAGGTGTATAATAAACTAGCACCCACAGAGGCAGTATGGGGTGCATAATAAACTAGCACCCACAGGGGCAGTATGGGGTGCATAAATTGTGTATATATATGTATATATGCGCATATATATATATATATATATATATATATATATATGTCGTACCTAGTAGCCAGAACTCACTTCTCAGCCTACTATTCAAGGCCCGATTTGCCTAATAAGCCAAGTTTTCCTGAATTAATATATTTACTATAATTTTTTTCTTATGAAATGATAAAGCAACCCTTTTCTCTATGTATAAGGTCAATTTTTTTTTATTGAAGTTAAAATTAACGTAGATATATGACCGAACCTAACCAACCCTACCTAACCTAACCTAACCTATATTTATAGGTAAGGTTAGGTTAGGTAGCCAAAAAAAGCTAGGTTAGGTTAGGTTAGGTAGGTTAGGTAGACGAAAAAACATTAATTCATGAAAACTTGGCTTATTAGGCAAATCGGGCCTTGAATAGTAGGCTGAGAAGTGCGTTCTGGCTATTAGGTACGACATATATATATATATATATATATATATATATATATATATATATATATATATATATATATATATATATATAATATATATATATATATATATATATATATATATATATATATATATATATATATATATATATATATATATATATATATATATATATGCACAACTCTCCTAAACACGAGAGTGAAGTTATACAACTTTAGAACACTTTCCCACCAGGAGACTCGAACCCTAGCCAGCACAGAAGCCTTCCAGCATCTGGCATAACAGGTACGCCTTTAACCCACTGCACCACGCTCAGACCCTTAAAAGAGATGGTAATTTCGGAGTATTTATACACACCAAAGACCACCATCTCCCAAGAGCACTAGAGCAAGTGAGGGGTCATTTTTACGTTTTTCATCAAGTCCCTGTTAATATGGGAGACCACTGTGTCTATGCTTGATGCACAACTCTCCTAAACACGAGAGTGAAGTTATACAACTTTATATATTTATTATATTTATATATACAACTTTACCTCACTTGCTCTAGTGCCCTTGGGAGATGGTGGTCTTTGGTGTGTATAAATACTCCGAAATTACCATCTCTTTCATCCATCTTCATGGTAACAGGGTTACCATCTTCATGGTAACAGGGTTACCATCTTCATGGTAACAGGGTTACCATGAAGCCCAAAATACATAAACTAAGCTAATTTAAATGAAAAAGAAACTTGGTAACAATTTCTTAGAAACAAAACATTGTAGGTCCTCAAATTATACAAGTTAGCCCTGCTAAGAGCATCTTAACTAAACGAAATGAGACAATTATCTATACAAATATTGTGACCATCGCCGTGGTTGGGCACTACCCCCCCCCCCCCCCAACCAGCTGTGGCCAACCTGCATTGTAATTTGTCTTGTTAACTTCCCGTGTACAGAACAGTTACATCGTTATTCACAAAGTTGCAACTGGCTCATCTCCTTACATCACAGATTATATTGTTATATTTTCATCATAATATTACGTGGTTAAGGTGCCCCCCGGTGGGGTCATAATGGGGGTCGTTGACCCCTAGGGCCAGATTCACGAAGCAGTAATGCAAGCGCTTACGAACCTGTCCATCTTTCCTCAGTCTGTGGCGGCTTTGTTTACAATTATTTAACAGTTAATGAGCTCCGAAGCACCAGGAGGCTGTTTATAACAATAACAACAGTTAATTGGCAAGTTTTCACGCTTGTAAACTGTTTAATTAATGTAACAAAAGCCGTCAAAGATTGAGGAAAGATGTACTTGTTCGTAAGTGCTTGTGTAACTGCTTCGTGAATCTGTCCCCAGATGTCAACACCGTACACCAGGCTGCCCCCCCCCCACCCCTCCCACACACGATCTAATAATAGTTTCGTCTCAATTACGGGTAATTGTACTCGCAATGTATATAATTTACCAAGTATCTTCAATTTATATAAAAACTGATGGGTTTATTATAATATTTATATACGATATTTGATATTTCATCAGCCGCCAGGATTTGACGTGAAAATAAAAAAAAAATTCAATTCACATCAAATTAAAAAAAAAAACATGCCAATTCTTTCCCTTTAAGGCATTTCTTGTTAATATAATATACGTACATCTTTATAACACAGAATGCCGTGTCGCTCAATCAAAATTAGCGGAGAATCGAGTTTGAATATTTTTTTTTATAATTATGGCGGAAATACATTGTTGACTTTTGGCAAGAGGGAACGCGAGGCTCTCACGCCTGGCTAGTGTCAGTGGTGCCTGAGACGTGGGGACGGGTGCACGCGCGTCGCTCTCTGGCTCTCCCGCTCGTGACTACTTGAAGTCCAAGTTTCCGCGTCCCATCTATCGAGTTCGTGAGACGATTTATGAACATTTGTGTCTTAATATATATATATATTAGTGTATGTGATAAGCATTTTTTGGCATGACAAGTGTGAGCGAGGCTAAGAGACTGGCTTTAATCTTGAGGATATGTAGCTTTAAATCATCAGCAAGTCTCAAGGAGCCTGAAACCTCTCCTGGGATGGCGACGTAATCTTGCGAAGGTGCGGAACAAACCTGTTGTTTCACGTATGTAAACAGTCCGCAAGTTGGTCGTTTAGTAAGTCCAAAGAACAGTTTCGAACAGTCGTTTAGAACGGTCGTTTTTAGAACGGTCGTTTAGAAGAGCTTGGTACCAACACGTGAAGAAATGTGTGCTTGGCATGATGACTTTTGACAATATTTTGGTGTCGTTAACTCTGAAAATGAATCATACCCACGGGCGGGTACGCGGCCACCCACGGGGCGGGTACGCGGCCACCCACGGGGCGGGTACGCGGCCACCCACGGGGCGGGTACGCGGCCACCCACGGGGCGGGTACGCGGCCACCCACGGGGGGGTACGCGGCCACCCACGGGGCGGGTACGCGGCCACCCACGGGGCGGGTACGCGGCCACCCACGGGGCGGGTACGCGGCCACCCACGGGGCGGGTACGCGGCCACCCACGGGCGGGTACGCGGCCACCCACGGGGCGGGTACGCGGCCACCCACGGGGCGGGTACGCGGCCACCCACGGGGCGGGTACGCGGCCACCCACGGGGCGGGTACGCGGCCACCCACGGGGCGGGTACACAGTGTTGATCAGTAAGCTGGTAAATGGTCAATATACATATACATATTGTGGATTAATATACACTTATTCACCTAACTGGCAAAATCAGAGAATTATTTAATTTCTCAAGTGTCTAATTTAGTGCCTGTCACGCTGGTCTCCAGGTGTGTCACGCTGGTCTCCAGGTGTGTCACGCTGGTCTCCGGGTGTGTCACGCTGGTCTCCGGGTGTGTCACGCTGGTCTCCGGGTGTGTCACGCTGGTCTCCGGGTGTGTCACGCTGGTCTCCGGGTGTGTCACGCTGGTCTCCGGGTGTGTCACGCTGGTCTCCGGGTGTGTCACGCTGGTCTCCGGGTGTGTCACGCTGGTCTCCGGGTGTGTCACGATGGTCTCCAGGTGTGTGTCACGCTGGTCTCCAGGTGTGTGAGTGTCACGCTGGTCACCAGGTGTGAGTGTCACGCTGGTCACCAGGTGTGTGAGCGTGTGACCAGCGTGACACTCACACACCTGGCGACCAGCGTGACACTCACACACCTGGCGACCAGCGTGACACTCACACACCTGGCGACCAGCGTGACACTCACACACCTGGCGACCAGCGTGACACACACACACCTGGCGACCAGCGTGACACTCACACACCTGGCGACCAGCGTGACACTCACACACCTGGCGACCAGCGTGACACTCACACACCTGGCGACCAGCGTGACACTCACACACCTGGCGACCAGCGTGACACTCACACACCTGGCGACCAGCGTGACACTCACACACCTGGCGACCAGCTTGACACTCACACACCTGGCGACCAGCGTGACACTCACACACCTGGCGACCAGCGTGACACTCACACACCTGGCGACCAGCGTGACACTCACACACCTGGCGACCAGCGTGACACTCACACACCTGGCGACCAGCGTGACACTCACACACCTGGCGACCAGCGTGACACTCACACACCTGGCGACCAGCGTGACACTCACACACCTGGCGACCAGCGTGACACTCACACACCTGGCGACCAGCGTGACACTCACACACCTGGCGACCAGCGTGACACTCACACACCTGGCGACCAGCGTGACACTCACACACCTGGCGACCAGCGTGACACTCACACACCTGGCGACCAGCGTGACACTCACACACCTGGCGACCAGCGTGACACTCACACACCTGGCGACCAGCGTGACACTCACACACCTGGCGACCAGCGTGACACTCACACACCTGGCGACCAGCGGGACACTCACACACCTGGCGACCAGCGTGACACTCACGCTGAGTGTCACGCTGGTCGCCAGGTGTGCGAGTGTCACGCTGGTCGCCAGGTGTGCGAGTGTCACGCTGGTCGCCAGGTGTGCGAGTGTCACGCTGGTCGCCAGGTGTGCGAGTGTCACGCTGGTCGCCAGGTGTGCGAGTGTCACGCTGGTCGCCAGGTGTGCGAGTGTCACGCTGGTCGCCAGGTGTGCGAGTGTCAAGCTGGTCGCCAGGTGTGCGAGTGTCAAGCTGGTCGCCAGGTGTGCGAGTGTCAAGCTGGTCGCCAGGTGTGCGAGTGTCACGCTGGTCGCCAGGTGTGCGAGTGTCACGCTGGTCGCCAGGTGTGCGAGTGTCACGCTGGTCGCCAGGTGTGCGAGTGTCACGCTGGTCGCCAGGTGTGCGAGTGTCACGCTGGTCGCCAGGTGTGCGAGTGTCACGCTGGTCGCCAGGTGTGCGAGTGTCACGCTGGTCGCCAGGTGTGCGAGTGTCACGCTGGTCGCCAGGTGTGCGAGTGTCACGCTGGTCGCCAGGTGTGCGAGTGTCACGCTGGTCGCCAGGTGTGTGCGAGTGTCACGCTGGTCGCCAGGTGTGTGCGAGTGTCACGCTGGTCGCCAGGTGTGTGCGAGTGTCACGCTGGTCGCCAGGTGTGTGCGAGTGTCACGCTGGTCGCCAGGTGTGTGCGAGTGTCACGCTGGTCGCCAGGTGTGTGCGAGTGTCACGCTGGTCGCCAGGTGTGTGCGAGTGTCACGCTGGTCGCCAGGTGTGTGCGAGTGTCACGCTGGTCGCCAGGTGTGTGCGAGTGTCACGCTGGTCGCCAGGTGTGTGCGAGTGTCACGCTGGTCGCCAGGTGTGTGCGAGTGTCACGCTGGTCGCCAGGTGTGTGTGTGTGTCACGCTGGTCGCCAGGTGTGTGTGTGTGTCACGCTGGTCGCCAGGTGTGTGTGTGTGTCACGCTGGTCGCCAGGTGTGTGAGTGTCACGCTGCGTGAGCATAATATCCGGCCTGTAGACCCAGGACAAACACACACCTGTGCACACACACCTGTTTTTTACACCTGACTTTGACACATAATTTCGTCACTGATGATTTCCCAGGTGTATGAAACAGGTTTTACGTCTGTTTGTGTTTTAAGTGTTTTATGGCGGCCTTGTCGAGTGTTGAAAAGGTCTTTGTTACCAGCGAAGGTTTGCACAAGACAGGTGTGTCAAGGCTGGTGTGTGTGTGTGTGTGTGTCAAGGCTGGTGTGTGTGTGTGTGTGTGTCAAGGCTGGTGTGTGTGTCAAGGCTGTGTGTGTGTGTGTGTGTGTCAAGGCTGGTGTGTGTGTGTGTGTCAAGGCTGTGTGTGTGTGTGTGTGTGTGTGTCAAGGCTGGTGTGTGTGTGTGTGTGTGTGTCACGGCTGGTGTGTGTGTGTGGCAACACCTGAGGCTGGTGTGTGTGTGTGTCAAGGCTGGTGTGTGTGTGGCAACACCTGAGGCTGGTGTGTGTGTGTGTCAAGGCTGGTGTGTGTGTGGCAACACCTGAGGCTGGTGTGTGTGTGTGTGTCAAGGCTGGTGTGTGTGTGGCAGCACCTGAGGCTGGTGTGTGTGTGGCAGCACCTGAGGCTGGTGTGTGTGTGTGTGTGTGTGTGTGTGTGTGTGTGTGTGTGTGTGTGTGTGTGTGTGGGAACACCTGAGGTTGGTGTGTGTGTGTGTGTGTGTGTGTGTGTCAAGGCTGATGTTTCTCAAGACATAATAATGTGTGTCAATTAAATACATTTTCCTCAGTACGTACAGCTAAGCTGACAGACATCAGATCAGTCTTCATGAACGCAATAAAAAATACTTTTTAACACTACAATATATACAACATACATCAGACCAGTGTTGGAATATGCAGCGCCACAAAACCATGATGGGAACGTGTTTGTTAAACAACTGGTATACAATTGAGGGGTACTGAGCTTCCGGTGTAACATCTGATTTTCTCTATCTACTCTGTGATTGTGAGAAAGTAAAGTAAGGAAGGAAGGAGGTGATTAGGCGGGCAACCCGTTCTCGCAAATTTAATAAGTCAATATTGACTTATTAAGCATGTGCATAGGTGACATACTTAACATAATAGTTTCCCTTGAAAAGCTTCATAGAAAACACCGACCTTACCTAACCTTCTTAGTATGTTAAGATAAGCATCTTATTGCTTCGTAATTACAATTATTACCTAACCTATACCTATAATAGGTTAAGTAACAATTGTAATTACGAAGCTATAAGATGCTTATTTTAACATAATAAGTAGGTTAGGATTTGGGAATAATAATGTCGGACGACCTAACGTTTAAGGAGCATAACCAAGCAAATATTGCGACAGCCAGAAAAATGATAGGATGGATTACGAGAACTTTCAAATCCAGGGATCCCATCACAATGGTTGTACTCTTCAAGGCACTTGTGTTGTCCCGTCTTGAGTACTGCTCAGTACTCACTTCCCCCTTCAAAGCAGGAGAGATTGCTGAAATAGAGGGAATACAGAGAACATATACGGCACGCATAGACGCAATAAAGCACCTAAATTATTGGGATCGTCTCAAAGCCCTCCAAATGTACTCACTAGAAAGAAGACGAGAGAGATATCAAATAATATACACCTGGAAGATACTGGAGGGTCAAGTACCAAATCTACACAGTAAAATAACAACGTACTGGAGTGAACGACATGGAAGAAAATGTAGAATAGAACCAATGAAGAGCAGAGGTGCCATAGGCACAATCAGAGAACACTGTATAAACATCAGAGGTCCGCGGTTGTTCAACGTCCTCCCAGCGAGTATAAGAAATATTGCCGGAACAACAGTGGACATTTTCAAGAGGAAACTAGATTTATTCCTCCAAGGAGTGCCGGACCAACCGGGCTGTGGTGGGTATGTGGGCCTGCGGGCCGCTCCAAGCAACAGCCTGGTGGACCAAACTCTCACAAGTCGAGCCTGGCCTCGGGCCGGGCTTTGGGAGTAGAAGAACTCCCAGAACCCCATCAACCAGGTATCAACCAACCAGGTAAGGTCGGTGTTTTCTATGAAGCTTTTCAAGGGAAACTATTATGTTTAGTATGTCACCTATGCACGCGACTAATAAGTCAATATTGACTTATTAAATTTGCGAGAACGGGTTGAGGCGGGAAGAGAAGAGAGGGAACAGACATGTATAAGGTTGAGGGGGAACTCGTCCGCCTGGCAACA